ACTGGTGATCCAAGCCAAAATTGTTACTCGATGTAATGCTCTGGATAGCTAGTTTTTTTATGGCGTAATTGGCCCAAGTGAGGTCCACTGTCATTGGTTTTCCTCTACCCTTTGGATAGAATGTCGGAACCTGTTGCTGGGATATTATTTTCTATCCAGTGCTTGCACAAGTACATACCAGTTCTTTGGCCAGGGGGTACATATGATGGTATTCCAACGGGTTCCAATGCTGGTGATGTAAGTTCGTGTCCATCTTTAGGATTGTGGCTACCTTCCTGTCATTTAGGTCGGCCAGCCACTCCTTCAGGGTTGGTAGTCCAGTGTTGTGCCTTGGAGCGTTATAAACGGGGGGCTGTATTTTTCCGCTATTATTCTAGCGGAAAAGTGCGCTTGCGTAAACTCTCACTTTCCCATGGTTCATATTGAATTTTCCGCTACAATCCCATGAAATTCTAGCGTAAGCCATTTTGGTGTAAAAAAAACAACTAGTGTAAAAATCTCACACCAGGCCTCCAAATTGAATTTTACGCGAGTAATTTTTACGCTAAAATAATAGCGTAAAACTGATTTGCGTACAATTTATCACACACCAACACCAACTCGAATTTTCCCCTATTCACCTTTACGCAACTTCGACTATATCAGAGTTACAAGAAAGGAACTGTAATAGGAAAGCTCAACCGATGCTGGGAATCATCTTCTCTGGAGATTCAGGGCGGATATCCTGAATGGCTTTATGCATAGTTTGGAGGCCAGTTGATCAAACCAATTTGAGATTCCCAGCACCTGCAATCTCTGCAGCGAACCGACTTGCAAAATGCCGGTTGAGTTTGGCATAGATGGATTTTGAATGTGGACTACATCTGTGGAACCATAGGGGTGACCATAGTGCATTGAGGGTTTCCAGAGAAGATGATTCCCAGCATCCGTTGAGCTTTCCTATTACAGTTCCTTTCTTGTAACTCTGATATAGTCGAAGTTGCGTAAAGGTGAATAGGGGAAAATTCGAGTTGGTGTTGGTGTGTGTGATAAATTGTACGCAAATCAGTTTTACGCTATTATTTTAGCGTAAAAATTACTCGCGTCAAATTCAATTTGGAGGCCTGGTGTGAGATTTTTACACTAGTTTTTTTTTTTACACCAAAATGGCTTACGCTAGAATTTCATGGGATTGTAGCGGAAAATTCAATATGAACCATGGGAAAGTGAAATTTTACGCAAGCGCACTTTTCCGCTAGAATAATAGCGGAAAAATCTTCTACCCCGTTATAAACTGAGAGTGATCTGAGCCAGTCCGGTTTTCCCTTTGGAAAGGTCCGCTCAACAGCCATCAGCGGGGGGGACTTAGTTGGGAATAGGGTGATTTACCAGGATGGGATACTTCTGGAGATGTAGATGCAGGTTCGGGTTTTCTCCTGATACGGCATGGCCTGGTAGTTGTAAGGAGTGAGCTTGTGCCAGGCCAGGTGCGATGGTATCTTGAGGGTGTGCGAATTCACCTAGGGTTCTTGTAAAATTAAAACTGTGTAAGTGGTCTCTGTCAGTAAATTTTCCATTACCACTTGTTTATTGAAACAGTTCAACTGGGCCATTACTATATCAGAGTTCCTGTCAAACAAAAAATTGGGTTCAGTTGGTATTCCTCTTGGTGCTGCGTTGGAAGGTTTTTGTGGGCCGCTCAAAGGAAAGGAGGTAGAGGGGGGGAGGCGTTCTGGTGTCTCTATTAGTTGGTTGTCTTAACATGTCAAAGTCAAATTTTTCTTGGGTAAACTTTTGGATCTGATGGGGCAATTCACACTGGAAGCTAAGTGCGCGTATTTCTTGTCTTGTTTGTCAAAGGTGATTCCCGGGTAAAGCAGGGAGTCTTGTTCTATGCAAGGTATGCACTGCAGAGGGCTATCTTTGGGCTCGAGGCATTCTTGCGAGTCAGAATCGCTGCCACAAAAATTGCAGCGTAACTTGTCTTTGCAAAACCTAGCTATATTTCCTGGTTCCTGACACTGATGACACTGGATCTGCATTTTCTTGCATGCCCTCACTCGTAAGCAATTCCACTCATAGTAAACACCCATTTGACCATCTTTTGTGCTGATTCCTTGTCCAATAGATTAACAATAATTGAGCTGTTCTGTTGGCCAGGAACCATTGGTTTGCTGAGCCAGCGGATCGAGTGGAGAGCTTCCGGGGGAATGGGGTTTTGTTTGGCAAGTACTTGTCCAATGTGTTCAGTGTCAGGGTAGTGATCCGTAGGTACCGAATCCACGACTATTGGGAAGACAGGAGGTAAGGTAACTAATCTGGGGTCCGCAAAAGTTGACCATTGGCATCTGTTTTTGAGGAGCCACTTTGCCTTGTTTTGAGTGGCAGTGTACAATTTGATGCTTTCTGATGGTAAGATTGCCACTCCTTTAATATCTACCTTTTTCCCCACTGACGATACATTAATTCATCCCAATGCCCAGTTTATGCAGTCAACAATATCCTTGGATGATACACCCTCAAACAGTTTATGGTCATCATTACTCCTGGTGATTACTTGGCTGGGTTTAAACACATTAATTATACAGTTGGGTAGGGGGGTGCGAGGTGCCAATTGGGATGCGTTCGGTGGCAGGTCCTTTTCTGTTACTGCAGCCCAGGACTTGGGGTTTGGCAGGAGCAGGGCATTGCTGCAGGTGGAGCCGGCGCCGGAGGGTGGGTGGTGGTCAGGGACAGGATGCGTGCCTCTAGTGTGTCAAGCTTTTTGAGTTGGGTTTCCAGTGTGTTCATCTGATTCAAGGTATCTTTCATGGAGTATGTCAGGGGGATGCTTCTGTGTGGCAGCCCACCTGGCTATTTCAAGCAGAATCTGAAGCTTGATTGGGCTTCAGGCTTAAAGTGAACAACAGGCAAGTCTGTACTGGTACCACCAAGTACAGACTACAGCTAGTTGACCTGTAATGAGAGGATTTATTGGGACTCCAGTTGGTTTATAAGGGTGTCCTTCCTTGTTAGAGTGCCTTGTCTTATAACTGGGCAAATCAGTTATCTGCAAGAGCCAACTCTAAAAAATACAGGCTCAGCTGAAGGTAACAGCTCTTGCTCCTTCCTGTATTTGTGTTCTTTGCCTCTAGCCCTTGGTGAGTCTTCACAGTCAAGGGATCCTGGAGGTGAAGGTCAGCCTAACCTTATCAAGTAGTGTTTTGACCTTTCTTTTACTTACACCTGTTGAACCTTGCACTATTGAGCAGATACTTGTTTTTATAAGTTATCCTCAATGTTTGTGCTAGTGGTTCTATTTTGGTGTGTGTGGTAAAAGGTGAGGAGAGGAGCCCACTGCTGAGCAGGAAAGGAGGGTTTATATACCTTTCAGGCTCCCTCATCCTCACTCTTAGGATATGGGCTGGCTTGTGCTTCCAGCTCATGCTATTACATGGCCATGTGGGCCAGTCTGTGGTTTTGTTATTCTGGTGGCAGGGCCTGCTAATTGGCCCCTGTCATAAGAGCACTATGCTTATGACTCTTGAAACTGAGCCTGAGGAGTGGCTTAATTGTTACACTGCTCATTACATATGTAATACCTATGTTACACTATGTTCCTACATGTGTACATTACTGAAAATGTTTGAGTTCCTGAGAACACCTATGTTGGACACAAATATATGTGCTGATATATTCGCAACTTGAGTGAGTAAGTGAATGGCAATCCTTGCCTACAGGAAATTATCTGACCTGGTAAGGATCAGATGGGACAAGAGTGAGGCAAAAGATTGTGGAGCTGGGCAAGCAAGATGCATAATCTAAGAATAAAACAGAAAACAGGATAGATTTCTCTTTCCAAAGATATACCTGATATATATGCAACTTGAGTGAGTAAGTGAATGGCAATCCTTGCCTACAGGAAATTATCTAACCTATGTGAGGTAAAACATGAAAGATTAGACAGAGATGATTAAATGAAAATTGGGATGGTTTGTCTACCTGGTAAGGATCAGATGGGACAAGAGTGAGACAAGTGATTGTGGGGCTGGGTGAGCAAGATGCGTGATCTAAGGATAAAACCGAAAACAGGATAAATTGAGAAACAAGAGAAAGAGATAGAAAGAAGTGATGTTCAGATGTAATGTTTCAATGTCATTGTGAGCAAGTAGAATAGTTGAGATCACTGACTTTCTCTTTCCAAAGATGGGGAAAGAGAAAGCAAGCTTGCCAGCATGTTGCAATGATATATATATATATTTCTGTGTAGGTGTATATTTGGCATGGCTTGGTTTAGGCTGTTACACAGGCTGTCTTCATGTACTTTTTTGGGAAGGAGTAAGTAAGTGATTTGTTTCATTGTACTGTTGTATATGCCTTATTAACATTGTTTAATTCCCTACTATTGATACTTATTTTTCCAGGTAAACTTAGCACATCTGATTTACTTGGTGAGGTCAATTAGACACCATCAATTACTTCTTACACTTATTCTTCTTGGTTGCCATGTGGGTGCCTATCTGGTTTCAGTCTGTGGGACTGCTATGCAGTCCTCAGGGCTGACAGAGTAAATCAGTGCCAACATGATGCTGACCAGATTGGCCAGGACTACAACTTCCCCATTGTCCCATTGGTTAGCCACCAGTTTCTTCCAGAGCTGGGGCATTGTTATCTTGTCAGGATGTGAGATGGGTTCCTTCATGGTGTCATTGGTCCTGTTCTCATCACCTATGGTTTCGGGCATGGACGCATCTTTACACCTGTTTGCTGTGCTGGATCGCCCCTTTAGTGGGTGGAAGCATTTAGAGAGGGTTATGGGTGGGGGGTCAGGGGGCATAGAGGAGTTCTGGGGTCCATAAAGTCTTAACAAAATTGGTTGAGGTTTGGGAAGAAAAAGAACAATGAAGGTGGACACAATTCCATGGTCACTGTGCTAAGGATAGGTTATAGTGGTAAGAGGTCAGAATCCCCTGTTTGACTGCAACCAATTGACAGGTACAAGGACTTACCCTATAGGGACATAGGGAAACACCTGAGGTACTGCTTAGGTAGCCTAGCAGTTAAGGCAGCCCATGCATGTTGCATCTGGTTGCTGGTTCAAATCCGGCCCCAACTGTGTTTTGGACTACAATACCTACACTCAGGTATCCTTCCAAACTGGTCCAAAAGGGACCTTCCAACCATTTCCATCACATTTATGGGTCATCTTTTGAACATGACACCCCTCCTTGACTTCATCTGTGAAGATTTGGGTTTTTGTACAACTCAGAAGGTGCTGCTTCCATTTGTTTGGAAAGTGAAAAATGAAGAAAATTGTGATCCTGGGAGACAAGGGAAAGAAGGCTTATGGAAAAGCAGTCCATCTACTGCCTATAGTGTTTATACATAATTCCACAATTGTGCTCACTACCTTTGCAACAGCTCCAACAGCTTTGATAGCTCTTGGTCTTATCATCTTACTCTCTACACCAGTACTTTGACACATTGGACAGTCCGTCAATGAGGAAGACAGACTTGCACGTCATCAAGCTTCCTTGAAGAAAAACAGTGGTCTTTTCTTTCACTTTCAACAACAACACCATGGTTTTCTCTAGCAAACCAGCATTAGCTATTCCTGCTGATCAACAAGCACCTTTTTCTTATTTCTATATGTCCCCAACCTGACAAGAAACAAAACCAACATCAATAATCAAGGTCTCTTTGCTTGGATTGGAATTATGATACACCACATCTCTAGATATACAGTACCTTTCATAGAGTCTCTCTTGTCAAAGACTTCATCTGGTCAACAGCAGGTGTCATATTTAGGTGACACCCACTTCAATAGCCAGTCCAGACTTCTGAGGGTGCCTGAAGCCATACAGTATCTGTAGAGGAAGGTTCAGGTACTATATTGCTTTAAGAGCCCTCTGAAAAACAATCCCTGTACTAGCTAGAGAACATAAGGGAATTGTAAAAAGTAGGTATGCATTCTCAATTGCCAAAAATAAATAAAGGTAAAAATAAAAATAAAGCAAAACTTCCCAATATTTCAAAGGGAGAATTTGCTTGACTTGTGAAGGCTAGGTTGTGTGCATCAAAAAAAAAAAAAAAAAAAAAAAAAAAAAAAAAAAAGTCCCATGATTTCTGACCAAGCCAGCCAGAAACAGAAAGGTGATTAAGATCATCCAAAGCAGATTACCCTTTGAATGTGTACTTGATCTAAATGCTCATCCCTCTATGTATCTTGAGATTACAATCAAAAATCATTCATTTTGTACCAAAGTTGAAATAAGGGCATTCTTTGTAAATAACACCCATGAATCTAGGTACCCAACACCGAAGTGTTTATAGCACAGGTACTTGTAATCAACATGGAATGAGGAAGCTAAGACTGTTGTGTTGATAGCAACCTGCCCATTGGAAGGATACAAGGCCTACATATGTGTATCCTGTTAGACTGTATGATCACAGTCTAGTAGACAAGGTTGCTTGTACAGAGTTTCTATTGTCTGATGTATGGGATGTGGAAATAGTGGAAGGTTCTTCTTTTTCCTTACCTTTCCACTTTGATACTCACTTGTACACATCCTAGGTCAGTCTCATATTCCCTCATTCATCTCTGCTTAGTAGTGTACCTGATGTGAATGATGGGATCTAAACTTTTCCACTTTGGTTGTCAGCCCTGAGGACTGCTCAGCAGTCCCACACACTGCCAAGATATTTGTATCGGATGGGCCTATCCGATGTTCTATCACCCTGAGATATGCGATGCAGTGTCAGTAGGATTAGGTGTGATGGAATTACACTGCAATATGGTGTCGGAGCATTAGATACTGATAGTAATTCCATCGCACCTAATCCTACTGACACTGCATCGCATATCTTGGGGTGATAGAACATCGGATAGGCCCATCCGATACAAATATCTTGGCAGTGACAGACTGTCAAACACCAATTACAGAGTACTGTGATAGTACACCTATAAACACAAGTGTAACATAAACATTACATGTAGTACTAACAAGAGTACAGATGTAATACCAGACCTGAGGAATACTCAGAAGTCCCACAAACTGTCAAATGACCAGTTACACATAGTACTGTAATGGTACATGTGCAAATACCAGTGTAACATAAGATTACATATAGCACTAACAAAGATACATATGTAATCATAATAGTGAAACAACATTAGATATATGTACCAACAGATAATTACAGCACATGCTCAGTATCAAGAGCCTTCAGTATGTACTTACAACAGGATGGAATACATAACACTGTAATAAGTACTCAATCACAAGTTGACCAAGAGTTGCCATGGCAACCCAAGCAACCACAAGTAGGCCATTAGCCTATTAGTGAGGGATAGGCCTGAGAACAGGATATATAAACTCTCCCCTCAGGCCAGGAGTTGGTTCATCCCCCCAACCTTTTACCACATCACCTAAAATTAGCACATTAGCACAACATTGAGGATACTTGTAAATCAAGTCATCTGCTCAATAGTGCCTAGTGCAATAGGTGTGGTATAAGGGGTTCACCCATAGGTTGGCAGACCTTCACTGCCAGCAAAAATTACTCGGACAGCCTTGTCCGAGTAATTTTTGCTGGTGGTGCTTGCTCCTTGACACCCTTGTCTGTGAGGCCTCACAAGGGTTAGAGCTAAGGACCACCCAAGCAGGAAAAGAGCACCCTAGCTTGTAAAAGAAGGATCAGAGTGGGGTGTTACTAGTGCCTAACTGTAACTCTGATCTCTGAGTGAAAGATTTGGATCCCAGACCCTGTCAGGGCTGAGCTACAGTGAGGCTGAGCTCCTGACTAGACTAATTGGTGGAAGAGCTTTATTGAGGCTTCCCACCTACAACTATAAACTGAATGCCTACACTATTGGTATCCCCAAGTGTAGACTGCAGTTAGTTGACCTGTAAGAACAGGGTTAATGAGTTGGACACCTACCAATCCTTTTATCTGTCAGGGCTGAGCTACAGTGAGGCTGAGCTCCTGACTAGACTAATTGGTGGAAGAGCTTTATTGAGGCTTCCCACCTACAACTATAAACTGAATGCCTACACTATTGGTATCCCCAAGTGTAGACTGCAGTTAGTTGACCTGTAAGAACAGGGTTTATTGAGTTGGACACCTACCAATCTTTTATGCCTAAGCAGATGGTGTACAATGGTTCCACTTCTGGAGATCAGGAGGATCCCTTTTATCTAAAAAGGGTCATTCCAGACTTATAGAAGAATCTATAGCCTAACAGGCAAGGGATAGCTACTTGGCTTATCTCTTAGAACTTGCTCTGGGTAGTTTTCCTATAACTCTTGGGGATCTCAATGTATCCAAGAGGCTACCAGAGGTAAGCAAGGATGAAGGACTACCAGTCCTTTGAAAGTTGACCCTTTTTTACTTTCACCTATTGAATAGTGCACTATTGAGCAGATTTCCTTAGGATAATCCTCAATGTTGTGCTTTTATTCAATTTAGGTGTTAGTGGTCAAGGTTAGGAAAGGGAACTGGGCCCCTGAGCTAGGAGAGGGGGTTTATATACCCTGACCTCAGCTCCTTCCTTCCTTAGAAGGGTATAATCTGAAACAAGGGGCTGATACCCTTGGATGTATGTTTAAACTGAGTTGCATGTTTCACTTGCTGTATTAATGTTTTGCTCTCCATGGCTCTTGATACTGAGCTTTGGTGTGACTTAACTGTTACCTTACTTAGTACTTATTTATTACATCTCTTACTCTACTTATTACATATGTACTATATATGTTATGCTATGTTACTACTTATGTATAATACTTGTTATTCCTGTAATACATGTGTTTGTCTTGTGAAAGCCTGTGGGACTGCTCAGCAGTCCTCAGGGCTGACAGACCCAGTCCTCCCAAAATCCTCATCCTTGAGGTCAACTAGCTGCAGTCAGTACTTGGGGGATTCCCAGTACTACTAGCTTAAGTTGTTAATCAGGGTACCCCAGAACCCTGTCCAGATGGGTAGCCTTCCAGAGCTACCCTTACTATCAGGACTAATAAGGCTAGGCTTTCCTTGGAAGGAACCAGTCTTTAGACTCCTCCTTCCCTGAATTCCAGTCAGGAGGTAGCTTTACAGAAGCCACCTCCTGACATTGGTACTCACTTGTATGCATCCTAGCCTGTTCTAAACCTGTCCAAAGAATACCTTCCCACCATTTCCTTCACCTTTTGGGGCATGAGAGTTGGATCTCTGGGTGTCCATCTTGACATGGTACATGTCTTCAGGATGAGCACTGAGGCACGGTCGCAAAGGCTGCAAGTGTAAACAGGTGCTGATCAGCTAGAATACACTGTGATTGGAGAATGAGAGATCGATCATGAGTGCCCAAACTTAACTTCATCCACAAGTCCTACACCCAGATTCTATGCAGGTGGGAGTGTGGCTTTTTGCCTTCTTGCACCATGTATTACAGTATGTATACCGTTAAGGGAGTAAAGCGTTTGAAGAGCTCTATCAAACACTCCACTATCATATTCTCTGACCAGAAGCACCAACCAAGTTGGAATAACGAGATGCCCAGTCTCTGACCCTAAATATCTGCGTTCAAACGGTCTTGATTCCTGATGTCACACTACAACTTCTGTGACAGAGGATCTTGGTTCATTCATTTTTGGATCCTAAGCTCAACCAAACCTTGGACGCTTTGGGTGAGTGTGGCACAAGCATGTTTTTCCCTGCGGATGGGAATGAGTTTTTTTTTTTGATTTTTTTTGATTTTTTCCAAATACAACATGTGAATGTTCAGTTACCTAATTATTTAACATTTATGGCCCTCTCATAACTGCTGTCAAGAGATATCCTCTTGTCTGAGCTCTACATAGCAAGTGTATGTGCTATACCATGACCACAGGGACGAACGTAGATAGTGACTCTCATAATGAGTAAACTCAAGATGAACCAAGACATATGTCCAATCTCATTTTACTCAAATTCACGTACCTTACTTCCCATATAATCTCCAAAGTCCTGTGTGGAAAAAGGACAGAGAGAAATTTCAGAACGCTCCCTTTCTAATGATTTCTTATTTGTTTTATTTACCAATCATCAAATTTCACCATACCTGATAATCTTCAAATAAATTGAGACTATCGTAAAAGA